TTGACTTTTCCCAGGAAAGAATTCAAGGGTGAGCTGGTGGTATTAAATAGCAATCTTTTATTTAACTGGAGCTGCTCCTTGGGAAGCAGGGCTAACTCAGACATTGTGCCCAGAGCCACACTTGTGGGCTCTTGGCAATTGTATTTATATCCACTTACACCTACTTTCAATTGCATGCAAATTAAGGAGTGGGTTAATGCAAATGGTGGGGTGGCTTATCTAGAACTTTTTAAGCAGTGGTGGGAGTGTCTTATGCTAATGAGCAATGAAGGTAGCTAGGGATCACTTTCGTTGCCATCTGCTGGTTCCTTCCGGTTTCTTCACTTCATTCTGTTGGGACTGGAAAATATGTCCTGCTTGTGTCCTACCTTACATCCAAGAGCATGTCTGTGGTGGGCCATTTTGCAAATAACACCTAAATATTACATATTCCATCAATACTGCTAAAGTCTCCTAATCTATTCTCTGTTTACTAACAACGGCCAATTATCTGTGTATCATTAATTGGTTAAGTGAAAACTGTGAAAGGCTTCTCCTTACACTGACCTTGTTGTACTCTGCCCTTAACCTTCTTTCTCTGAGGCCAAAAAAGTTTGGAAGGCCGGTCTTGGCCCCTTTTCTTATGGCTTCCAGAACATGTAAGACATCTTTCTGTAAATTAATCACTTATACTTGGTAGACTCTACTCTAATTTGTCCACTCCTGCCCATCCATTTTTGTCCTCCTACCAGTATCCCTAAAACATTGGGGATATGGAGATGCTCAGAAAATGTTTTAAAGAGGGGGAAAAATAAAGGAGGAAAGCTTGAAATTCTATTCACATTATCCCATCCCATGAGGATCAGATTCTTTTAATTTTCAGAGTATTCAAAGATTTCCAACCACACATCTTTCTTTATATTCCAGACAAAGTGATTTCTCATACACGTCTGGCATTAGTTTTCAAGTGTGCTATTGTGTTTCCTCCAAATCTGTATGTTCATCCTTATCTTAATCTTCTGGGGCTGCCATAACAAAATACAATAGACTGGGTGGCTTAAACAACAAAAATTTATTTCTCACAATGCTGAAGGCTATAATTGTCCAAGATCAGAGTAACAGCATGGTTGGGTTCTGGTGATGTCTCTCTTCCTGGCTTTCAGACCGCTGCTTTCTCACTATGTCCTTATATGGTTGGGAAATAAAGAGAAAATGAAAGCTCTCTGGTGTCCGTTTTTATGTGTCCACTAATCCCATCATGAGTGCTCCACTCTTAATCTGTCATTTAAACCTAATAATCTTCCAAAGACCTCATCTCTAAACACCATGACATTGGGTGTTACAGCTTCATCATATGAATTTGGGGGAGACACAATTCAGTCCATAGCAAGCCCTGTCTCCCAATGTGACTGTATTTAGAGATAGGGCCTATAATGTGGTAATTAAGATTAAATGAAGTCATAAGGGTGGGACACTGATCCAACTGAATTAGTTCTGGTTCTTCTTATGTTGCCCAAGCTGGTCTTGAACTCCTGACCTCAAGTGATCTTCTTGCCTCAGCCTCCCAAAGTGCTGGGATTGCAGGTGTGAGCCACCATGTTCAGTCTATTATTATTTTAATAGTAGTATAAATGGTGTTTTAAATGTCCTTAATTGGTGAAATAAAAAGAAAATAACTTATGTCAGGACCCAGTTTTATTAATTTAACTAGTCCTTGACATCTCCAAGTATCAGAATCCCTGCCTTTAACCACTATGCTTTGTATATGGAGTAGTTTCCCATCTTAAGACAACTGGTCTCAATTGCAACACAGAAAGAGAAGTGCTTCGCTAAATGTCCTCTCTATCCAGGAAGAAAGACTAAGCTTGCTGCCTGGAAAACACTATACAAATCTAGGACCCGTATGTAAAGATCATGCTGCTGAGATGGCATGGAGGGGTAAGGGCACTGGGGTGAAAGGAAGAAGTATAACTGCCCAAGGGGTTTACCTTGCCCACTGCCTAGGCAGAGCCGATTTATAAACACAGGGCAATTGCAATAAAGAAAGTAATTAATGCAGAGCCAGTTGTGCGGGAGACTGGAGTTTTATTATTGCTTAAATCAGTCTCCCCGAGCATTGAGGGAGCAGAGTTTTTAAGGATAACTTGGTGGGTGGGGGGAAGCCAGTGAACCAGGAGTGCTGATTGGTCAGAGATGAAATCACAGGGAATCGAAGTTGTCTTCTTGCACTGAGTCAGTTCCTGGGTGAGGGCCACAAGATCAGATGAACCAGTTTATCTATCTGGGTGGTGCCAGCTGATTCATCAAGTACAGGGTTTGCAAAATATCTCAAGCACTGATCTTAGGAGCAGTTTAGGAAGGGTTAGAATCTTGTAGTCTCCAGCTTCATGACTCTTAAACCGTAATTTCTAATCTTGTGGCTAATGCTAGTCCTACAAAGGCAATCTAGTCTCCAGGCAAGAAGGAAGTCTGCTTTGGGAAAGGGCTGTCACCATCTTTGTTTAGACTATAAACTAAGTTTTTTCCAAGGCTTGTTCAGCCTATGCCTAGGAATGAACAAGGACAGCTTGGAGGTTAGAAGCAAGATGGACTCGGTTTAGTTAAATCTCTTTCACTGTCTTAGTCATAATTTTGCAAAGGCAGTTTTAGGAGTATGGGAGGCAGTGTGGTTAAATAGGAGGAGCAGAGACTCTCAATGCAGAGGTTTTCAAATCATAGATCTGCCACTTACTAGATTTATGACTTTAGGCAGGTTGTTTTAGTTTTCTGAGCCTCATCTGTACAATGAAATCTTCATAGTAGTTAGTTCATAGGCCTGAAAAGAAGATGAAATGAAAAGATTGAAGTAGAACATTGAGAACAAGGCCTGCTGTGCTATAGGTGTTTAATAAACATTATCTTCCACAGTGATAATGATTAAGGCACTAAACGTAACAGAATTTAAAAAGCGGAGGACCAAAAAGAACCCACCACTCTCCTGAGCTGAGAGAATTTGCCCAGTATTCCAGGGACAGGTGTGTCCTAAGCTCTCACTAGGTAGGGTCAATGCCCAGCAGCCAAGCCAGAAGGAAGATTTAGGCAGACACTGTCATTGATGAACATGTAATCTCCAGAGCTAGAATACTATTGATGATGGTGACTGGCTTTGGTTCTTCTCTCTGGTCTGACACCCAGAAAGCTCATCAGACTCACTGCTATAAACCTTCTAATCCCACAGCAGGCCAAAAACCACAGCCCTGCCTCCCCTCCTCCTGAGTTTCCTGTGTGGGTGTGGTGGGAGCAAGAGTGAATTCAGTACCTCTGATGGGAACTGGAAACACCCAGCCCCACAGCAGCTGCATTCCAAAGGGCAGAGCTCTGACTTCGTTTCATGCTTTTACAGACAATGACAGCAAGACTTCTCATAGGAACTGCTAGGACCACTGGAGAGAGTGAATTCAGCTTTTGGCGAAAAACCCATGGGTGATCTTTCAGGCCTCACCATAGGCAATTATGAAAGCTTTACCTGGCAGGAGCCATGGGGGGATGTGCCCTCCACACATCAGACTTGATGCACAGCCACTGCACTGCAGTCTGTGAATGGAGTTGCAATCAAGGACACAGATATCCCTAGCTGATCATGCTGTCACATGTCTGCATTCTGTTATAAGTGAAATTTAGATGCTGCAAAAGAAATAGCACTCAAAGATAAATCCTCTCAGCAAGGCAGTTTACTTCTATAGAATGGTGCAGCTCACGGATGGAGCAATCGTGACTGCACATTTGGACAAGTGAGGAAAAGGGATACTTATGTCTGATGGGGGTCGTTCCTACTGCTGTGTTGTTCCCCTATTGGCTAGGGTTAGACTACACAAGCTAGACTAATCCCTATTGGCTATTTTAAAGAGAGCAGGGGTCCGAGCTGGAGCGGCAGGGTGGATGGTTTGTCAGGAAGGATGGTTACAGGCGGGTCAGAGCAGGTAGCCAGGGGTGACCTAAGTCAAAGGAAGGTGACCAGAGCAGGTGACTGGAGCAGATGACTGAAGCAGGTGACCAGGATGAGTCAGGATGGAGCTGGGGGCCAGTGGGAACAGATGTGAACTACTGATTACAACTGGTGAAGAATGTTGTTTACTGGAACTACAAGGAAGTTAAACTTTAAAATGAAGGACAAATAACTGAACATAATGACATACTGATTCTTTGAAGAGAAATTTAGAACTCATTGTATCCAATAATTCCTAGACCAGGTGCCTCCATTTGGAGTTTGCTTTATCAGGAGCCTTTTGCAGAGGCTTCCTCCAGCACCTCAGCTTAAGACCTCTTTTTGCCATGGTGGCTGGGGGGATGCCTAAAAAATTTTTTTTTCTCAACGCTGACTCAGTACTCAGTACTTTTCAACTCCTAGCCCTTCCCCATCACCTCCTGCCCCTGGGTCCATAAAGTGGCAGGAGCTTTTTGTTCAGGGCTCCCTTAACCATGAGATGATGATGCCCTGCATCTGTGCTAATCCAGCAGACCCCTGTTGGAGCCACTCCATGAGGAAAAATGGAATAATGGAGGAGTCGGTACTTTTTCTGGTTCAGTCTCTTGCTTATGCTATCAAAAGAAATAATTAAAAGGAAATGATTAAAGCCTGACTGTTACTTTTATTTTGACTGAGGTAACCTAGTGGATCAAATTAGAGATTCAGCAGAGCGTCTCTAAGAAAGCCACAGAAACAATTCCCTGGATACTGTTCTCCGATAATGGGGCAAATTACTGGAGGCCCTGCAAACTGGCTTGTACCCCAAAACTATTCCTAGATCTAAGCAGTTCCCTGGGGCTGACAGACAACTTGCCATGCAGCCTGTTATTGAGACTCATGCTTCTAATAAAAATAATGTAGAGGTCTTTAGGATCACTTTTTCCAGTGATCTCACTAGATAGGTCAATGCCCAGCAGCCAAGCCAGAAGGAAGATTTGCTTAGAGGAAGAGAACATAGAGACTTGGCTAGTTTGCTTCCTTTGAGAAAAAGGTAATCTTGTTAAATAAACTTCATAAAGGAAAGTGGCTCCTTGAGGGGTACATCAGTACAGACCCCCTACCTCCATAGTGCCTTGACAGTGGCCACTTTCCCTAAGGAGGAGGAGCAAGGTGGGGAGATGAGAGTGTATGTATACCAAGGACCATCTCTTTCCTCATCTGGGTACTATTTGGTCTCTGACTGATTTGGTCCACACATGATGAGTACCTAGTCACTGAAAAACGTGTCTTAACCACCTTCACAAGGCTATGGAGGTCCTGCAGCCCTCCTGGTGGTCTCTTGGGTCTACTATGAGGGAGTGGAAACAGCAGATGATCTGATTAACCAGACTTAGATGTATAGGTTTGTTTGTGTGGCTCCTGCTTTTTGTCAAGCCCAATTAAGCCACCTCCTGACGTCAAGTCCATCAATCTGCAACGTAATTCAGATCTTAATGAGAAATTCTCAGGCACAGAAAAAGTGGCTTCTGAGAAAATAGCAAAATTTGACCTCCTCCCCTCTAAAAAAGGAGCATAAAAATAGTACTTGGGTGCCCTCTTCTGGACTATCTGAGCAAGGGCCTCCCCAAAGAGATTTTTGAGTTTGATTACTCAATAATGGAACCACAAAAGCAGGAGATTGATGGGCTCCCTACTGAGGAACTCAGGGCCAAGTACCAGGCCATGGGGATCTGATAAGTGGTCTGGTAGAGTCTGCATAGTGATGGTCTTCCACCTCTCCTGGTGGATTTGGAGACAAATCAGAGATCCTGAGCAACTTTTGCTCTGACACTCAGCTTTCAAATATAAACAAGATTAGGGGTTACAAACAAAGATCCAAAGATTAGGGGTTATAACCAAGATCCATCTGTACCCAGGGGACGCAGAGGCCCTATGGCAAGGTTAGAGTTCAACTGAAAAGTGAAGAGGAATTGCACTTGTTAGGCCTTTTAGATACCAGTACACAGGCGACTGCTATCACAAACCCTTGAATCAAGATGACAGGAAAACAGATAGTGTTCTCTGATTTGGGGTTCCTACTAACCTCCATTGTCATGGCCCCCAGTACCGAATGAAATATTGGTACTGATGTGTTTTCCACGTGCACCTCCACTAGCCTTTGCCCCCAACCCATGACAGGAATTGCAATAGTTTTGGCCATTTTAGTGGGAAATATAGAAGACCATGGACCCATCTGATGACCAACACCTAGTACTGTTGTTTCCCAAAAATAATGTCAGCTGCCTAGGGGAGAAAAAGAATAATTGCCATAACTGCTGAGCTTAAGGAAGCCAAAGTGTTTCATGAGATTGTTTCTCCATTCAATAGCCCCACCTGGCTTGTACACGAGACCTTGGTTTCTTGGAGACTTACCATTGATTATAGGCAGCACAATGTATAATACCACCTTTGGCACCAGCAGTACCTGACATTGTGACTGTTACAGAGGCTCAAGACAGAGAGAACTTGGTATGTAGCAATTGATATTGCAAATACATATCAAATTTTAATCCCCAATGTTGGAGGTGGGGCCTGGTGGGAGGTGATTAGATCATAGGGGCAGATTTCCCTTTTGGTTTTGTTCTCATTATAGTGAGTAATTGAGTAATTGTGAGATCTGGCTGTTTAAATGTGTAGCACCTCTCTTCTCTTCCTCCTGCTCTGGCTGTGTGAAGACATACCTGCTTCCCCTTCCACCATTATTGTAAGTTTCCGGAGGCCTCCAAGCCATGCTTCCTCTACAGCCTGTGTAACGGAGTCAATTAAACCTCTTTTCTCTTTATAAATTACCCAGTCTCAGATACTTTTTTTTTTTTTTTTTGAGACGGAGTCTCGCTCTCGTTACCCAGGCTGGAGTGCAATGGCGCGATCTCGGCTCACCGCAACCTCCGCCTCCTGGGTTCAGGCAATTCTCCTGCCTCAGCCTCCTGAGTAGCTGGGATTACAGGCACGCGCCACCATGCCCAGCTAATTTTTTGTATTTTTAGTAGAGATGGGGTTTCACCGTGTTGACCAGGATGGTATCGATCTCTTGACCTCATGATCCATCCGCCTCAGCCTTCCAAAGTGCTGGGATTACAGGCTTGAGCCACCGCGCCCGGCCTTCAGATACTTCTTTATAGCAGTGCAACAAACTAATACAGAGCGATTTATTAGAACTGCTCCTCCCTGAGTCCTCACTCTCATAGCCAGAGACCTACTTGCCATCTGCAATGGACTTAATTGTGCCCTGCCTTAAATTCCTATGTTATAATACCCAATGACTGCATTTGCAGATAGGGCTTTTAGGTGATAATTATGGTTAAATGAGGTCATAGGGTAGGGTCCTAATCCAATAGGATTGGTTGCCTTATAACCTTATAAGAAGAGGGAGATTGGCCAGGTGTGATGGCTCATGCCTATAATCCCAGCACTTTGGGAGGCCAAGGTGGGTGGAACCCTGTCTCTACTAAAAATAAAAAAAAAAATTAGCTGGGCATGGTGGCACGTGCCTGTAATCTCAGCTACTCAGGAGGCTGAAGTAGGAGAATCACTTGAACCTGAGAGGCGGAGGTTGCAGTGAGCAAAGGTCGCACCACGGCACTCCAGCCTGGGAGACAGAGCAAGATGGGGGGGTGGGGACAGGGGAGACTGGGGGTGTGGGGGAGGAGGAGGAGGATGAGATGGTTCTCTCTCTCCTTCCCCTTCCTTTTCTCCCTCCCTCCTCTTTCTCTCCACTGGAATGTGAAAGGAAAGGCCAGTGAGAACACAGAGAGAAGGCAGCCAACTGCAAGCCAGGAAGATGACCCTCGCCAGAACCTGACCACAATGGCATCCTGACCTTGGACTTCCAGCCTCTAGAACTGTGAGAAAATAAATTTTTGTTGTTTGAGCCAGCCAGTCTATGATATTTTGTTGTAGCAGCCCAAACAAAGACACTCTCCATGATACCTTCTTCTTTCTCAGCCTCACATATATTATGTCAGCATATCTGTGTGCCCTTCCTTCAGAATATGTTCTGAATATGGTTACTTACCACTTCCACTGTTGCTTCCCATAACCAAACTGCTATCATCAGCTCTTCCCTGAACACCTGCAATAGCTCCTAGGCTCCTGCACTCACTCCCAATTCCCTCCTATCTGTTATTTTCATATTAGCCAAATTAGTTTTTCCCAAACCCATATCAGATCATGTCAGTGATTAAAAATAATACAGTGGCTTTCCACTATACCCTAGGATTTGATTTAAAATTCTTACCATGGCCTTTAAAGCTTTGGCCAATCTGTCTCCTGCTTAACTCTGAACTACTTTGGAGCCTCTCTTCTCACTCCTCACCATCTAGTCACATGGCCTCTTTTGGAATATATGAAAACTTCCCAGCTTGGATTCACTGCCTATCATCTTTCACCTGACTCATTCTTATTTATCCTTCAGGTTCAGCTTTCATTTCCCTTCCTTGGAGTGGCCTCCCATGACTTACATCCTAAATTAGAAGTCTTTGTATTCTTTCCGGTTTTACCACGTTGTTTACATTGACATACCATCAGTTTTGTGTTTATTGGTTTATTGTCTGGCTCCCCCATTGGGTGGCCAATTTCATGAGAGTAAGGAAAGAATCTGCCTTGTTCACTGACATACTACCAGCACCCAGCCTATGGTTCAACTGGAGTAGGTGCTCAGTTGACATGTGTTGAGTGAATAAATGAATAGACTCTATGAGGTTGATGTTTTTAGTTCAGAGTAGTTTGGTGATTTACTTGCTGCCACACAGCTAGCAAGTGGATGTAAATGGATAAGGTCCCAGAATTATAGTTCCAAGGTGAATGTACAGTCTAAGACTGCTAGAGGATGAAAAGTAGAAGGGGGCGTGGAGTCTAATACACATGAGAAGATTCCAGACCATTGATTCTAGGGAGATCTTCCCTCAGGGTGTGTTGAGGGGAGTACATATTCAATATTCACATTTGTTGAAAACTAGCTTCTGATTTCATAATATGTATATATTGCTGAAAGACTTTTCTGATTGGTAAAGATAACAGAAAATACAGCGTTTCTTCTCTGAGAGCAGTTTTTTTTTTTTCCACTTTATTGAAAGGAGGCAGGTTAAAAATGTGACTAGGAGACCAGGTGCAGTGACTCACACCTGTAATCCCAGCACTTTGGAAGGCCGAGGCGGGCAGATCACCTGAGGATGGGAGTTCAAGACCAGCCTGACCAACATGGAGAAACTGCGTCTCTATTAAAAATACAAAAATTAGCTGGGTGTGGTGGCACGTGCCTGTAATCCCAGCTACTTGGGAGGCTGAGGCAGGAGAATCGCTTGACCTCGGGAGGTGGAGGTTCACGCTATTGCACTCCAGCCTGAGCAGCAACAAGAGGAAAACTCCATATCAATAAACAAACAAATAAACAAAACAAGAAAAAGTGACTAGGAAACTGTACGAAAGCTTTCTGCCATTCGCCTGATTGAAGCTAAGGCCTGTGGGGTGCAGGAGACACCAAGGTATGGGTTGTGCCAGGACCATGCTCATATAGTGGAAAGTAGGTCTTGGTGACACAGCAACCGACAGGCTGCACATTCCCATCCACCCCTCACCCCAGCAAACTCACATCATTCCACCCCTACCCCACAGACTCCCCTTCACAATTCCCTAATCTGTATATTACCTCTCAGGCTCCACACATCCCCACACCAGCCCCCCCTCCAAGCTCCACTTTACCCCACATCACTCCTCAGACTTCACATTACCTCCTAGAGTCACATTGGCCCACAAATGGTGAGAAAGAGCCGTTTGTGAAAAGCGAGTTTGGAAGGCCAGGTGTGAAGCCACAACCCTCGGGAGCACGTGGCGTGAGGGCCAACTCGACAGCAGAGGGCGCCTGAGAGCCTCTCGGCACAGGCCATGCAGGGACGTGCGCTCCTGTAAGTACAGCCTCCAAGCCTGGGTTAATTCCTAGACAGGTAGTGAGCCAATCGAACCAGCCACTGCCTTCCTAGAAAATAAACTACTCTTTTTTCTTGTCCTCCTCTGCTCAGCATCGTTCTCTATGCCTCGAATATTTTAAATGGCCGTATGGATATCTGTAAAATAAAGGCTAGTGTTATCATCATTATTATCATTAATCAGATATACAGGTAAAAGGCAATCCTAGGAACAAAGCAAGAATCTGGAGTAAGGACGGCTATGGGGATTGTGTTCGAATAGTTTGAACAATAGTTTTTGTTTCTTATTTTGCTTGGGTTTTGACGTGTGTTGTTTCAA